TGGGATGTGAATAATTAACGTGAATCAAGGGCTGGTAACTGCATGCCCGTCACGCTCCACATCAGCTGGCACTGTGACGGGGGCAGCCTGGAGGTGTACCCAGAGCTGTGGGGGCAGGAGCCAGCTCCTCATGGGTGCAGAGGGGCTGGAAAGCTGCTGCAAGTGCTCATCTGCCTCTCCCTGGCTCTGTTGCAGAAGGACAAGAAGACACCATCCTGTCGTATGAGCCAGTGACGCGGCAAGAGAGTAAGTCCTGGTGCTGAGCTGCCCCGTGCCTGCTCCAGCGTGGGCACCTGTGTCCCCAGCACAACTGGGATGACTGGTATGGCCTCCTCCCCTCCTCTACTGTAGCAGCACGGGCTAGGTGAACACGAGTGGAGTTTCTTGTCTGTTGTGGGCAGCAGGGGAGCCAGACGTGCAGGCTGCCTCGCAGGGCTTTCCCTGGCCTTGATTCCCCCCTCTTCAATCAACCAAAAGGACTTGTAACCTGGTCTGCAAGACCAAGGGAAAGATCCAGAGCTAAAACTGAGCTGGGCTGTAGTCCCCAGCTGAGGATGGGGGTTATCCTTCCCTGCCTCGGGCCAGGTCCCTGCTGCAGACCAACGCCCCCCATCCCTCAGCATTTAACCCTGCTTGATGCTCAAACCCTGCAGACCCTTTCGCAGGCTAAATAGTCTCAGGCTCAGTGGTCTTTCCTTGCCAGAAGCTGGATGAGACTCTTAGGCTCCCGTCACTTCTCCCATCTCCGTGGCATCCTTGCCCAGCTCTCCCGGTTGTCTGCCTCCTGCCCCAAGCAAAGGAGCAGCTTTGCTGATCTGCACCCCTGGAGACCTGCAGCACCTTCCTCGGGGCTGCTCAGATAGTTTGGGTCAGATGGAAAGGAGATGTTGGCCATGACCAGGAGATAAACTTGCACAGAGGAGGCACCTTTGGGTGCCCATGTGAGCAGGAGCACCCACTGCCAGCAGGGAGAGGGCAGGTTGATGCCAAAAGTGGCAGTAGGGTCAACTGCCTGCAGCGCAGTTGGGGCCTCAAGTTGCGGCTCTTGTTTGCAGTTCACTATGCGAGGCCGGTGATCATCCTGGGGCCGACAAAGGACCGAATTAACGATGACCTCATCTCCGAATTCCCACACAAGTTTGGTTCCTGCGTGCCCCGTAAGTCCCAGCTGGCGCTCAGTGCCCTTGCTGGAGGGAGGGGAGAGTGGTGGCCCTGCTCCTTGCAGGGTCTAGCCCGTGGCGTGGGGAGGGGGCTGGGAGCATGGGTGGGGTTTTTCCCTTCCCGGAGGTTTGGTGTGCGTCACTCCGGGTTCGCTCATGATGCCCTCTCTCCTCCAGACACTACCAGGCCTCGACGCGAGAACGAGGTGGACGGACAAGACTACCACTTCGTTGTATCCCGTGAACAGATGGAGAAGGACATCCAGGACAACAAGTTCATAGAGGCTGGGCAGTTCAATGACAATCTCTACGGGACCAGCATTCAGTCAGTGCGGGCAGTGGCGGGGAGGGGGAGGGGCACGGGGGCTTTCCCG